TTTATGGGTCTGAAAAAATGTATGTTTATATGTTTTGTTGGAATAAAACTACACTTGGTTTTAGGACTACTAAAAATTGCCAAATCTAATAAGAACACAATAGAAGTTGTTGTTTGTGTTTGAGAAAAATGATAAAACAGCTCTAAGGCTCTAAGGTTGTGGAGTCGACTTTAATTACATCAAATCAATTTTAATTATTTTAATAATATTTGAAATAATATCTTTTAGTTTATTTTCTTGTTTTCTTTTTCTTTTTTTTTTTTAGTTTTATTAAAAAAAAATTAAGGCCAAAAGTCCTCCACTCATCTTGTTTAAGATCTCTTAAGAGGACCCAAAACACAACTTCCAACGAGAACGGTCATGTTCATGCAAACCCAAAAAGGATAAATTAGTTGTAAAACCTTACACAAAATAAAAAAAAAAAAAAAAAAAAAAAATCTCGTTATTTACCTGTTAATCATTGATTAAATCGAATCTTTCCTCGCTCATTCTTTAATAACATGACATGATCTAAATGAACCCTGATGTAGTGAGACGCTATTAATGAAATCGCAATCTCAAAAACACTTAAAACGATATCAATTCATCTTTTATTCATAATCAATTGAAGAACACAAAAGAAGAAAAATCCTTTAAATAAGGCTCCTAAATCCTACTTGTAACTTCTTTAAGATACGATCTCTTACTAAATATTCTTGTAAGAAACGATGGGCAAACTCAAAACAAATTAGCTTGTTAGAGTGAGAAAGTCAAGAAAGTCGAGAAAAAGAGATACATGTATCTGATGGGTTTGAAAGAAAGTGGAGGAAAGGATTTGATATAAGTAGCTTGTTTGAATTCCTCCCGGAACAAAAGGATCAAAACCTTCCACGCCCCATGACTGTTCAATCGGCGTCGATCGGACTAGTGACTTGGAAGGTATCTCTATGTTTAGGGGTATTACAGAAACTGCCCCAAGGGTTTTGATACATGGAAGTTTTTACATTTTACAAAGAACTCCCAGAGGTTTGGTTCCAACTTCTGCCAATAAAACTTTATGGGTTCAATGTGTTTTTGTATAAAGGAGGGTTCATTATTTAATTTTATTTTTTGAACTAACTTCTTTTTAATGACCTGAACACCCATGATCACTTGTGAATATACATTGCACTACAACATTATTAACCCGCTCTCCTTCACCCTGCCTTTTTGGGCCAACCCGGCATCTCGATCAGGTCACTCAAGACCCAACATGCGTAAAAACTTTTTCTTGTATCGGGCGGGCAATAAACATTGTTCAACCATTGTGGTTTAGCTATAAACTCAACATGCCTTATACTGTGGGGTTTTTTTGAGTTCACTCCTTACTGCATATGACGGGAAATCGGAGTTCGATAGCACTATACCAGTCATATTTGCATAAATACCCTTCCACATACTTTTGAAAAAAATAAAAAAGACACACACAGAACAAGGTAAAATAGCAGTAATAAACTGGCAACAACAGTAAAAAGTAAAAACAAAGAGTTAAAAATAAAATTAATATCAAAATCATTGGACGAGATGCAAAATACACCTTTTGCGTCCAACAATACCCAAACAAAACAGTTCGAGGGAAAAAAATTCTTATATAGCTCCGACAAATACACAACAAAAAATGTTCAACAACTCTCAGACACAAAATGACAAAATTAATAATATGACAATTATTTATATACAAAAAAGATGCGTATATCAATCCACCAGTCTCTCTACTATAACAAGACACCTGAGCTCGATCAAAGCTCGAGAAAAAAAAAAAAGAAAAAAAAAAAACCCGACAAGAATTTCAAGAATCAATCTTCAAAATAAAAATCCAATCTATTAATTCTAAAATCTATAGCCAGAACCGGACGATGGTGGGGCAGGCGGCAAACGGTTGGGCGTGCGGCGACTGCCAGAGTTTGACCCATAGCTGACATCACCATTCTGGGAAGGGTCACTGTTCCTGCGACTGTGACCATTGGATCTCGAGTCCCCAAACGAATCTGATCGCCCATTTGCAGCAGCATCGAAAGCAGATCTCCAATCGTCCCCGGACGATGGACCCATAGTGGTTGGACTATTTTCTGCTAAGTGGGATAACGAAAAATTAATGGCACAGAAATAAATAATTCTGACGCCTGGGGGTATTATAGTCATTTCTGCTAAGTGGGACAGAAATGGTATATACATGGCATTTGTCTGTAAATGATTGACACCTGGGGGCATTAGTCATTTTGCAGGGCATTTTTTGGACTGAATGTATCATTTTGGTAATGGAATAAAAAAATCCCACCCCCAACACAGGGATGGAAATTATCGGCCAACGGGAGATATGCACGTGGGGTAAGCAAAGTTTTTAATCCAAACTAAGATAAAAACATTTTCATAACTACTAAGGCCAACAGATCACTAATTTATCTGATCTCTTTGCCTACACTTTTTTCAACCATTTTCATTAACTTTTTGAGTAATGCTATAGGTACATAATAGTGTACATAAAGGTGTACATAACACTAACATTAAGTGGGTCTTACCAAAAATAAAAAATCAAGTGGACTCCACTCTATGTGAGTGTTATGTACACCTCTATGTACATTTGTTATGTACTTGTAGCATTTTTCTAACTTTTTACAGATAAAGAAAACACACACACGCACATCTGATTCATCAGGGGATATACATAATGATGGATGTCGAGGGTAACACGATTTCATCAAGGCTATATCAGGGGATATACATAATGATAGATCCAAGTATTTTGAATTTATAATAAAATCATTACCCGCAACACCATTGGAGTAGCTGGAAGCTGCAGCAGCTCGATTGTCATGGATGCTAAGTTGCCTTGTCAGCTTGGAAAGAAGGGAGGACTGTTTCTGGTAACGTTCTCTCCTCCGCTTCACATTCTGGTCCTCCTGAAGGAGCTCTTCTATCTTTGCCATGCTTTGTGCGCTGTCATTATCCACATTCATTAGATTTAGTACAGTTTAAGTAATACCTGCTGTCGAGTAGTAGCATCAACCTATTGTGTGCACGCACAAAAAAAAAGGAAAAAAAAAAAGAAAAACTTACCTGATAGAACTGTACAACTTATTGAGCATGTCTTCTTTCGCCTTCTCAACTTGGCATAAGACAACTGCCTGCAGAAATCACAGCAACATAAAATAAAACAGTCGGTTCAACTTTGTAAGTGTTGTAAAAAAATAAAAAAGCAAATAAAATTTTCATTGATAGTGGACCTTCGGGACATTGGCAGCAAGACTGTTAAGAACAGCTTCAACATAACCACGCACTTCCTGAGCCATCCATCTAAGCTCTTCTTCTGGATCCACAGGTCTTCTGGTCATTGTTTCCTATCACATGAGAGGATAAAACTTTAGGCCAATGTTTTCATACTTACAGACAATAATATAGAGGGATAAAAATAGAGGGAAAAGAAGTGTTGAAAAATTTGTCAGTTCCACCAGTCTAACCAATAAAAACAGAATCAATGAAATTTTTCAAAAAAATATATATCATTTATGTATGATGAATATGATAAGGTCAGGGAGTCCATGGAAATTACAAGAGAACCATCAGAATGACTTTGCCGCATTGGAGGACCAGACTCGCTCTTCACTTGACCTCCTTTGGCACTGATGACATTTCTTAATTTATTGAGCCACTCTGTCTTGTCTGCCATGCTCTCAGCCTTCAAAAGAACAGCACTATGGGCTGCAGAGATGAGGAAGTGTCTAGTTAATTTTTTCTTCCGCAAATTAATAATGAAAATAAGTTTTAGTGGAGGACACAAAATATAAAGTGCAGTACCTTTCAGGACAGTCTTATACTGAACCCTGCTTGTTAACTTGAAAACAAGACTAGGTGCTTTTGCTGCATCAGGACCATTTGCCTTTTTATCTTTAGAACTCTTTGGAGGAGCTTCTTCTTCTTCAGAAACTTCTTCCAGATTACATTCCTGAAAAATTTCACCAATAAATTACAACACTAATTCAACTGCAAAGTAATCTTCCACATCAAATCAGATTGCAGAGAACAAGAAATGACATTAGACGCCTATGTGTTCATTACAGTGTTTAAGCACGGAAGGCTCTATATAGTATAGCCTAATGATACCTCTAAAGTGATGACGCCATGAAAATGCCTTTCTTCTTGTTTCTTGGTATAACCAAGCTGCATCATAAGAAAACAACAATAAGCATACTTATTGTGAGATCTTCAACCATCATTGTATGATATTCACTTGAATTACTGGTTACCTATTCACAAAAGATGTGTGCGCATATTAAAGTTACTTACCTTTCCGGTTTTCTCATTTAACACAAACCATCTTTTACTCCAACCATTATTTTTGGCACTTTTCTTTAACAAAAAGCCTGCACAAAATGAAGAAAGAAGAATAAAATAATTAAGCAAATCATCGAAGATAGCCCAACAATTTTTTAACTACAAAATACGAAAGGTCCAATAATTTTGAGCCAAAGCACAACTGCAAGGGGGAAAATAACTGTGTGAACCTGCTGTTATTTCTCCATCTGGTCCAGCAATCTTAAGTCCAGATCCTTCTTGCGCATCTTTATCTTTATCTTGCGGATTGGATTTGTTATCCTTCAACGATTTTAAGCTCACTCCACTTTGTTGGCCTCCTGTTTGTGGACTGGTTGCCTGAGATAGAGGAAACAGGAGGAGAGCAAAAAATTGATAAAACAGAAACAAAATTGTACCATGTGAAATTGCGTGGCAATACAGAACAAAAGAAGTCACCCGGTTTCTAACTACATGCATTATTACCGAAAGTCACATAAAACATACATATTGCAGACAACATAGGATTGTCGATAAATAAAATACAAACACAAGGATATTATACCCTGTTTAAAATGGACTGCTCTGCATCAAGCGCCTTCTTGGAAGATCGACCCTTCAACTCTTCTTCACGCCGTTGTCTATCCATCCTGCAAAACCATCAAACTTGAGAACTGTAAATAAGCACCAACGCAAGAAACATAAAACTAGATCAGTTGTTAGCATACCTCCTCTGCACTAAACGTATAAAATGTTGTGGAGGAACAAATGCACGTTCCATGTCAACGAGTGCCACTACCATGTTTTTAGCTTCATTCTTGAAGCCCTCCAAAGCAGCTGTAGCAATTGCCACAACCTAGACAGATTTTAAAGTACAATAAATTATGAGATTAAGAAGATACACATGTGGCTTCAGTTAACACTTAACATAAAAGAGATACATATTTGTGTTTACCTCTCTTTTAAAAGGAGGGTATCTTCCAAGGCCTGCCGTAGCATTTGCAGCAGCTGAGACAATATCGACAAGAACCCGATGCACCTATAAAAAAGCCAAGAAATTAACAGAGAACGTGTACAACATCAAAAGGCCATGGAAATAGATAAACAAAAATAACAATGAATTACCTCATCCACACAGAGGCGTGAAGGTTCTTTTGCAAGCTCCAAAACACCCTTAATTAATGATCTCAACCCTTTTTCAGGAGAGATAAGATAAGGTTGATAGCCGTCTGCTTCAAGCACAATCTAAAATCGGTCTGGAAACATCATACGGCAGACAAGACAAAAATAGAATACTAGAAAGCACACATGGCATAATGGAGAACACATACCCTTTTAACATTACTGATGTCGAAGTGCCTATCTAAAGGAAGTTGCTTGATCCTATTGGGGAAATTGCCTTCAAAACTAGCAACCACTTTCCACCCACCTCCCTAAAAAAAAGCAAGATACTTCAAAATCTAAGCATTATGCTAACAGAGAAGAGTTTGGATACAACTATAGCACAACATGGCACAAAAACTGACATCCTGCTGAACAGACCATTATAGCAAGGGAGTATAATGAAAATAATAGTAACAGTGAAAATCGAGTTCATAAAATAAAATTTCATTAAATCCAACTAGGACCACAAGAATCTAACCACTGCAATTAAATTAAAATAATATTGCATAACCTTCCAATGAGTTCAGAGCATCACCTCTCCTGTTGTGATGTGTTGGAGAAACTTGTCCTCAAATTCACGGCAAAGTTCCAAGGCTAAAGCTCTGGTACCTTCAGAACTCTGAACCATCTGTTCCCCAAGTCTGAAAAGTTCATCCTGCACTACCTGGGACTTTCCCTGAAGCCTGAAGGGGGTTTGAAACATCAACAAGGCAGTAGACAAAGGTATTACAGATACAAATAATGTGCAAAAAAGAAACATCCGCTACAAGAGACTTCTACTTATCAATGAGAACTTGTATATTAGGTGTAAAGATACAAATAATAAGATTTTTTTTTTTTTTTTAAAGAAAATTAATCACTTGTTTCAAACTTTGGCGCATGGTGGTGCTCACTATTTAGTAGGGCATAAGTAGCAACGGGAACAATACAAAGATCTAATTATGCTTTACAAGCAATTGCTTGAAAAAAGAACCACACATCTATTGCTAGGAAGAAGATTACAGAAAGAAATACTCCAGAAAGTGACATAATGAAACAACCTCTTCACATGACCAAGGAAAAAGGGAGACCAGGAGACGAGAAGATTCATTAGGGAACATACCCTGAAAGAAGATTTGGCAGCCTAATTTTCATGCGATTTCTAATCTGTTGAGCAAGGGTCTCAACCAAGGCTAATCTCCCAAGTTTGCTTTGAGGGGCTCCAGTCAGTATAGATTTTAAACTCTCACTCTCGGCTCGCCAAGCAGTTTCCAAGGAATTATCAGCTCCAACACTCCCTGATTGAGCAGAAGCTATAGAGACAGACTGGCCAATCAAAGCAACCCATGGAATGTCGGATGTACTTCTAGGTCCTTGATTTAACAAAAGAGCTTGCACAGCAGCAAGGACTTTCGGTTCTGAAGATGCTTGATCTATCTTGCTAATTACTCCAACAGTTCTTGTACCTAAACAGTAGAAGCCAGTGTAAGTTAATCACAAAATATGCGATCAGAAGAGAACTCCATTTTCAAATTCATAATAAGTCAAAATAATATCCAGTGCAGACTCACTTTCTCCATCAAGTTCCTTGGCGATTCTTATGGCTTTGGCTGAAGCTACCTCTGGAGCTTGAGTGGCAGGTATTACAACGAGCAATATTGCATCACTACGTTCAGCATACTGACTCTGAATATGAAACGGGCTATTATTCTACAATAATAATGTGATAACAGTCTAATGGCTTGAACATAATTATTATTATTCCTATCATAAATCACCATCATTTTTATTATCCAGCACACTAGGTCCAAAAATAAGAATATTAGCAAGATGCCAAGTCTGAGGTTGACCATTATGTTTAGCTATTGAACTATTCAGAATTAGTAATTGCATTCTATCACAATTTTGCTTCCCAAATAGTAAATACTACACAACATTCACAGACATCATTCAGAAATGAAAGAACTCCTAACTTATACCCAATGCTGTTCAGTATTCAAAAGCCACTCACCAAGGAATCGTCAAGGTTGCTCTTATCAACACCAGGCAAATCAATTAGTTTCAATGGTGGAGCTGCAAAACATGGAGTTAAAAGGTGGATAAGTAACCTTACTGATAAACGGTCTGGGTAGAACTCATCCCTAAAAGCTAGCTCAAAGGGAGAGGGTGCACAACTTACACGTACACAATAATAACCCGGTAACTAATCGACCTGGGACAAACATAACTTTTAACAACCTTATGTGCCAAAACCAAATGGGTTGAGTCCAAACCCAACATCGCCCCCAAACAAACAAACCTAGCTCTAATACAATGATAAATGGGTCTGGATAGAACTTATCCTCAAAAGCTATTTCAAAGGGAGAGAATACACAACCCGCACATATACACAATAGCAGCCTAGTAACTAATCAATATGGGATAAATATAACTTCTAACACTCACAAACTGCAGACGTTCACATTGTTGACAACTGCGTAGTAGGTATCTCAATATCAAGTCAGAAACACTGATGGGGTAGTGATTATGAGTTCCCTAAAATTTTCAAAGGTTGGGTATTCAGGAAATTGTCACTTGACTATCTAAATGTATTAAAGTTGTTTTACAAGAAACCAGAAATGTATTTCTCTACGAAAGTAATATGTTTGGCCTATCACAATCCATGAAACAGAGAAATAACTATTTATGCACCAATGTGAAGTTTACAGTTTACTTAAAAAAATTCTTTTCTACTTCATGTAGAAAAATTATTGTTCTTATATGCAGAAAGGCTTCCAAAATAAAAGCACAATTTGTAGCTTCCTTACAAAATAAGTAAATCAAGGCAACACCTGCAATATACCTGTACTCGTACGAAGCTTCAAATATATCTCATCACGACTTTTCCCAGATATTTTGCTCAACCTATCTTGTAATGAATGTCGAAGAGCACCTATAATCACAAATTTCAAGAAAAAAATATTACACATAACCAGGAAACAAGGTGGTGCCCATTTTTCTCCTTCGCGAAGTAAAAACTTGTACTCCTCTATTCTGCTTTAAGTTAAGAGTTTTGAACAAGGACTCACTTGCAGATACTGGCTGAGATTTACTATCAATTTGCAGAATAATGGATTTGGTACTAAGCGAACTATCCCTTGCTAAGTCAATACATATTGGAGCCCGGGTTGCACCACCTTCCCCAGTTGGCTGCAAATTAAGTTTATCTTAAAAAAGGTTTCCCATTTGAGCAAATTCAAAATGAACACGGTACTAATATGATGAAGAATCTATAAGACCTAAGTACTTACCAATGCAGGATGTCCAATTAGACTATTCAGCACTGCAGACTTTCCTGCACCCTGAAAGTGAATGTAAATGTATGGAAATCAATGCCTAGTTGGAGAGAAAATGCATATATTGTACATACCCTCAATTTCTATGCTACGGAGGATACCAATCCTTCAACACACTTCTAAGCCCTTAAGAAAACAAAGCACACCACTAAGCTTTAACTGGGAACACTCCCATAATGTTCCCAAGTAAAACTGGTATAAAGATTGAAAGCTAAACCTTAGACTCAAAACGATCAGCACCAATGCAAGGCCACCAAATGTAGTATCAAATTTTTCATGATATACAAATTCAGTGGGTACTGTATTATAGTCATATTAAACGAAATGAATACGCATGAAGCAAAAACCAAAAGTGAAAATACTGCATAAATCAGCCACCATTTTAAAGATTGTAATACAATTCATGCTAACTTATCTTTCTCACACACACCCGTCAGTCTGAGTGGGCAATGGTCAGTCAGCAATGTAAGAGGTAGACCAGTTGAAAAAACATGAAAATGCCTTCAATCTATTTTATTATTTTGCAGTTGAAGTTCATTAAGCTCAAGCTCATTTCATTTTCAGCTCCTCATCCTTAAAAAATAGCCTAGACTCCACATTTCAAATACTAAATATCTACTCTCAGATCAATCAATCACCGAGCCAAATGATCCAAAATAAAATTACCACACAACACAGAGATCACGTCAGCTGCAATTTCAAACAGAATGAAAAATCCCAGATCCAAACACCAGCTAACCCCAACCCCAGAGATCTAACACCACCCAAAACCGCTTACGTTAACCACAGAACAACCAAGGGAAGCAAAACTCAAAACACCTCCACGATCATTCATACTCACAGTGTTCCCGAGAGCAACAACATTGAGGAAAGTGGATGTCCGCTTGGAGGCAGCAGAGGACGCCGCCGTCTCGTCCACATCTTCATCCGCCAGCAGCGCCGACGCCTGCCGCATCGAATCTGAGAGCTGCAATAATTCCTCAATGGCCTCCATGGATTCCTATCAATCTCCTCTAGTCTCCCCAAAATCCAACCGACAAAAGAAAATCAAGTACGATTTGCTTGTAGCTAAACCACTGGATCGAGCCACCAATTACCGCAGATCCACTCGAACGGGAGGGGATCGAGTGAATTAACAGCAGTATATTAGTGTTTTATCTATATGTTCATGACAGGATTTGTGTAGAATTTAGGGTTTGAGGAGATTTTGAGAGTTTGAACTTTCGAAAATTGAGGAGAAAATGAAAAATGTTTGGAAAGAGAGGAGAGAGAACTAATGGGTGGTGATATGGTGAAAGGTCTGTAGCGATGATGTATTCGAATATTTTTAAAGCGAAAATATTGATTTTTTTTTTTTTTTTTTTTTT